CTTAGCTAAGAGTTGGTGTGGCAGGGAGGGAAGCACTGTGTGTGGATGTCCCTTGGCTCAGCCCAGCCATCCTTGTGTGTGTTATGCCATGCATGCACTGGCTGAGCATGCCAGCTGCTGTTTAAATGCAGCAGTGGAAAGAGCAGAGAGAAAGCTGCCACGCTGAGTTCTCCCCACTGCCTGTGCCCCCCACCCCTGGCTGATGGGTCCCCAGACCCCGGGAGAGTGACACCCTGACATTTCCCCTTCTCCTTCTGTCTCCAAGTGTCATTTCTCAGCACAGCCAAGGAGCTGCAAAGCTCTCTGTCCCCTGTGGTGCTTTGGAGGGCACACACTGCACCTGGCAGGAGGGAGGAAAACAGGCAGAGCAAAGGGGGGGGGGGCAGCAGGATGCAGATGACAACAGTTTGGACCCCCCCACACCTGCCAGAGGGTCAAGGTTTCACTTCCAGCCATTGTGGGAACTTCCTCATGGATGTATATACTTTTTTTTAAAATAATTTCTTCTAGCTTCTGAAACCCTCCAGTGCCAAGCTGTCATTTTGCTCTTTTAATCATATTTTGTGCCTGTGCTGCTCTCTAGGCGAGTCTTCGAGTTGCTTCCCAGCTCTCCCAACACTTAATCGCTTACAGCCTGAAAGACATGCTGAGATGTTTTCCTTCTTTCTGGAGGATGGATCCATCCCCCCTCTTGCCTTCCTTTCAGAGCCTGCTGGAGCTGGTGCTATAGTTGCAATTTATCTGCAGTAAGATCCTTGTGGATGAGCAGGGAGAGTATTTGAAGAAGAGCGATGGTCCCCAAGGAAACCCCCTTGTGACTCCTGGTTTAGCTAAAACCTAGGTCCGAGGAAGTAAAAACTAAATGTTCTTGAATCTTTACTGTTCTCAGCAGCTCTCTGAAGCGGGACAAAGGGTGATGTGGAAGAGAAAGCTAAAATGGGCTCAGTAACATGATTTTCTGTTTGGCAGGCAGAAGTTACCAGAAGCCCCAAGGAGAGGTGCCCAAACCCTGGTGTCCTTGTGCTCTTCCATCTGGGTTTGCTCTGGTGCAAGCTGTACATAACCAGCAGACATTCTTGAAGTTCAAATGTCTTCCAGAGCACCTGGAAGCATGATCCCTTCCCTTCAAGCCTGTGGACAAGGAAGCAGAATGATATTTTAAACTAGAAGACACTTTTTATGCACAGCATCTGCTTGAGTGATCTCCAGAAGTGGCACTCAGCTTCCCTGGCACCTTTGTAAGTGCCAGGGAAATCCCACCAAAGAGATACTCTTAAATGGTGGAAGAACTGCCTCTTTACAGATGGAAAGCAGATAAGGAGGTGGCCCTCCTGCCCTCTTCTTTTATACAAGTAAGTGGCTGGCAGGGCATCCGAGGACCTCCCAGTCCACTGCTTTGTATATACACAGGGACCCTTGTGGCTGAATGGAAGCAGGAGAAGCACATCTGGAGCTGATGGGAAGCAGAGCTTCCCACACCGGTGATGCCCATGCTAACCATTTATATGGGATAGAAAGACGGCTCTCAGGGACTTCTAGGGAGCTGCTGCAGTGCCTGGGAGGGATTTGGTGGGGTTTGTACCCCCTCACCTTCCCCCTGCTCTCATCCTCCTGTTCTTTCAGCTGTAGCTCTCCTCTGCAGAGTGGTCTCTGCAAAGGGGCACTTCCAAAACAAGAGATCTTGCTGTACCTGCCTGTCAAAGTCCCATCCACTGGCTGTGGCAGCAGTGGTGTTTAATGCTCCCCAGCCTTGCAAAGACACCTTTGGGTGTCAGCCCATCCACATGGGTTTACATTATCATAAGCAGAGACAGATGGTGAGAATAAACATGTTGCTCAGGTATAAACAGCAGCAAGAGGTGATAAAGAAAGGTGGTTGTACTGGTGCTGAGGGAAACCTGCTACAGGCAATTGCCTGTAAAAAACTCCTGTGAGATCCAGGATGAGTTTGCAGGGTTGGTAGTTAGATTGATAAGGTTCTCCCTCATAAGACAGGAATTTGTGCCATGGCAGATCCCAGCCTCTAGCTCTGCAAGATGCACATGCATCTGGCTGTGTAAAATGTAGCTGGATTGCATCCATGCTTGGGTCAGAAGCAGAGCTGGGACAAATGCTTTGACCCCTAACTGCAAAGCAGTCCCCTGCCATGCAGCATCACTGCAGCCTCTGCTGCCTTCCCACATCTTCTCTGTGGACTGGAAAACTTTGTCTGCCCCTCCAATTCTGAAGTGAACGGGTCCTGTTTACTCTTCACTATCATAATTAATGTTATTACTATTATTAAGGGCTACCTAGAATCTGCCTTTGAGGGATGTATTAAAGGAGATGATGGCCAGATACATGGGATAGGACAGGCTCTACCCTACAGATTCAATAGCCAGTTGTGTACATCTTCCTTGACTTGGGAATGTGCTGGTTGCCTTTCTGACTGATTACAGGTGCCAGTTTGGTAAAATACAGTTGTTGAACACAGCTTAATGAACATGTTCCTCCTTTCATATTTTGATTCCCACTTCCCTGAACAAGTCACAGATAAGATGATCTTGCCAGTGCTGGCCTGAGAGTTTCCAAACCTGTTTATTCTGGTCTCTTTCTGGTCATCCCAGGAAAGCATTCCTGGAACGGAGATACCCTATGGGCAAACATATACAGCAAGAGTAGAGCAAGGGCAATGGCTATCTATGGACCCCAGCCTCTTCTTTTCAGTGCCTGAGCTCTTTGCTCTCCCACAGAGAAGATAAAAGAAAGGAGCAGGTGCTGAGGCAGAAGGAGTGGGGGGTGATGGTGTGATGAGGACCCCCAGCCACTCCTCCCCAAGGAGATGCACATTCATCAGCTGGAGCTGATGGCAAGGGCAGAGCGTTTGTCCTGTCTCCTGCAGGCCCTTCACTCAGCAGAAAAGACTGTGACACTGTCTCGTTTGCAGCAAACGTCCTTGCTTGATTCCCCTCCTTCCCTCCCAACTCACCTCCCTGCAAGTCACTTCTCACGAAATGGGCTGCATTCCCCCCATAGCTCCAGCAGGGGAAATGAAAAGAGGCGGAGAAGCAGCCTGTGCCTGCCACAGCCTGGTGAGACTGTCTGTTTGCCAAAAATGACAGTGGGGATTCCTACAATCCTTCAAAAACTTAGACTGAAACTGGAAAACGCTGCAACCAGCAAGGAACAGGGGTGCATGGCACCATAGCAAGGGCTGGGAAATGCATCAGTGAGCGAGAAGTGTTATAATCCTGCAGTGGTAACAATGGTGTGGGACAGACTGGTTGCATGGCTAGATCTGACTGCTGGGATTGAAATCTAAACCCTTAAGATAACCTTGAAAACTTTGAAGCACCAAAAAATAAAAAATAAACCTAAAACTTTTAAGCACCTCTGCCAGTGTCCTGGAAGAAAACATACCCTCTCGGGTGGATGTATCTGCCCAGTGTGTTTACAAAGCACCATACAGTTCTTCTGTGCTGGCAGAGGGAGCTGCTTCAGCCACAAAGCCCCAAAGAGAGCAGAAACTGTGAGTATCCATGTTCTGGGCAAAGGCTGCTTTTTCTTGGGATTCAGAGGGTGAAACGGTGAATTGCAAAGGGCTGGAAGCATCAGCAGAGGAGAGGTAGCATGGGTATGGCTCATGGCTCTGTCCTTTGGTCAAGGCTGCTCTCCTGGGGCCAGTCAAGGATAGAGTAACTACTACTCCTCAGGGTAGTGCTCAACCAGTGTTGAAAGTGTTGAACAACAGCCTTATTTGGAGGAATTTGCTGTGACAGCAGCAAGAAGGGACTAAGGGGTGTCTGAAACATAGACATGGGTGCTCACCTCCTAAGAGCCTGAACTGCTGATTATCATGACTCAGTCCCCCAAAGCCACCCGTCCCAAGGGAGGGGAGGGAGCCAGGCTGCTGCGATTGGATTTGTTCAGTGCGAAAGAGCCCATCTTCCATTTCAAGGCTAATGGAGGAATCACCAAGCATCTGGGGGAGAGACTGCTGCAAATCATTGCCCAACCACCCTCTTGAACAACTTGTCATCTGTGTGTCCCCATTTCTCTGCCGGTGCACATCGATCAGAAAGAACCAGAGCCCAGCAACGGCACGGGGTGCCTGGAAGAGGAGGGGAGGAGGGGTGGGGGTGGAGCAAAAAGGAAAGAAATAGATTTTGCAGAAATTTTGGTTAAATTGAATTGGGATTAAAATTCCTCAGAGGCTGAGAGTTGTCACAAACTGAAGATCATTCGATCTCAGGAGACTGCCATGGGATTACCAATACTTTGTATTATATTTTAGAAGTCTGTCACTCCTTATGTAAGAAGCTCATTCCCTGGGTTATTTTCCCTGCAAAAATATTTCTGCGAGCAAAAGCTGTGCCCCAGGGCATTTCATAGAATCATACAAGCTTTTGGGTTGGAAAGGACCTTAAAGATCAACTAGTCCCATTCCACTTGCCATGGGCAGAGGGACACCTTTCACTAGAGCAGGTTGCTCAGAGCCCCATCCAACCTGTCCTTGAACACTTGAAAGGATGGGGAGTCCACAGCTTCTCTGGGCAACCTGTTTCAGTGCCTCAACACTGTCACAGTAAACAATTTCTTCCTAATAACTAATCTAAACCTGCCCTCTTTCAGGGTCTAAAGCCATTCCCCCTTGTCCTGTCACTACATGCCCTTGTAAAAAGTCCCTCTTCAGCCTTCTTGTGGGTTTCCTTTGGGGACTGGAAGACTGCTGTAAGGTCTTCCTGGATCCTTCTCTTCTCCAGCCTGAACTACCCCAACTTTCTCAGCCTGTCTCCCTAGGAGAGGCGCTCCAGCCCTCTGATCACATTTGTGGCCCGTTTGCAACATGTATATTCAGAGGAGAAAACCCACGTCTTTATATGTTGCAGCAAACCACGAAACGCTTCGGGTGGAGGCTGCTGTGGGCTTGGAGAGGGGCTTTGCAGCTGTACTCTCACTCTGACAGCAAGAACATCTGCAGCCCCCAAACAACAGATGCTGCCGCCTGGTCTGTCGCTGACCCTTGCGCCGGGTGTCGCTCTTTTGGCAGAGAGGCTCCCGTTTGCCGGGTGCGGGGGCAGCATCGGGTCTGCCTGCTCTCCCCTGCTCCTTACACCGCTCCCCAAAGCCGGGGAGCAGCGTGCGGGGTGAGGGCAGGATGCCGGGGTGGCCGTGGACCCGCAGCGCCGCCCGGTGCGCGGCCGCCGAACTGCGGCCGGGCTGCCGCCCCCGCCCTGCTCTGCCCGCACGGCCCGGCCCGGCCCGGCTCGGCCCCGCACGGCCCCGCAGAGCCCCGCAGCGCCCCGCCGGCGGCTCCTCGCAGAGCACCGAGACCCTCCGGGAGCGCACGTCGCGTAACTTCGGACCATCTTTCCCCTTCCCCGGTGTGAAACAGCAGCAGGACGGCAGGGACCTCCCTGCCATGGGGACGTTGAGGCACACGGGAGCACACAGGACACGTCTAAGGGATGGAGCTGAGGCGTCCGGGCACTCCGTGCCACGTGGAGGCTGCAAGATGATGCCCTATCGTGCCCTATCTGTCACTAACGTGCCCCTGCCTTTGTCCATTATCACCTGGGCACATGAGGTCCAGGTGAAGCCCCAAGGCAGGTCACAGACTGCTTGCACAGCCTCCCTGTCCTCACAGCAGGCTGGGGATACCCACTAAGGAAAGCAGTTCGTGGGAGCAAGACAGTTTTAGCGAAGGTTTCATCCCTGCTGGGATGGCACCTTACAACCCTGGTTCCTTCCCCTACACCCAGCAGTGTATGGTGCACCCAGCACCTTATGGTGCACCCTGCTAAGAAGTCACTTGTTCATCAGAGCCAGCACCATCCTGGTATTCTCATACATGCACAGATCATCTGTTTAATCTGCTTTCCATCTTAAAACAGACTACTGAAAACTACAGATTTCTCAGCATTCACTGCACCACCAGGTCATTCCTTTCTGTAAAGTTTACCATTTTCTTTCAGACCACTGGTTAAGATATCAACAGCCTTGGCCAGAGGGGACACTGTCCTCTTTTTATCAAGTGTGTTTTGGTTTGGTCTAGTTTTCCATGGTTTTATTTTGCACACATAACTCTTCTTTGCATTTTGCCTCCTCATATCCCTACATAAAAAAGCTTTCTGCCTGTCATTTGAGGTCCCTTAAATTAAGACTACATTACTTGAAAGGGATTTACCATGGAATTGTCCCAGACCAGCTCAGATGCATTGCTACCCAAAAGGTGATGGTGCCACCAAGACCTGCCTTTTCTCTGGGGCAGCAACCCTGCCTTTCTCCCATAAAGAAATCACGTCTTCCTATTTTCTTGTGCATCCCAATTCCATCTGCCTCTGGTGTCACCACAAAGTACAACCAAAAATCTATACCTCTTCAATACCCTGTGCATTACTGAGGAAAGTGCTAATAGGAGAGGCAGACCACTTGAGAAGCCAATCGATAGACCTGCCTGTGTTTGATGGTGGGTGTCTCACAGAGCAAAGCGCTGTCTAAACCCTCAATTACCCTTCCCTCGCCTCTCCCTGCTTCCTGACAACTGCAGTGGTTAAGCCCTCTTCGGTATCTGCAAGTGGACCACTGCCTAATAAAAGGCTGCAAAATGCCAGCACATCTCTGAGCCACTTCAGGAGGTCACTGTTTAATGCTGAAAAGAAATGCAATGAAGGAAAACTGACCCGTGCCTCCAGTTACAAGGAAAGTAGAGACAACAGAGAAAAAAAGGAAAAAATCGTGTTTAAAAAATACATTAAGAGGAACAAGGGGTTTAAACCTTTTAGAAACAGTTTCAGGTGAAGCCTGTGGCCCCATTTTTCGCAGTAGACAGATAATTTTTCAAAAGTTACTTAAGTGTCCAGCTTTTTCAAAAATCAGGCCCAGAGCAGTCACTTCACTATGGGCATCCGAACTGAAATCTTTTTGGGTGGCCTGGGTTTTAACTCTGGAGAAAGGGAGAGGGCAGGTGGCAAGCCCTGTCCTGCCATGAGGCATGCTTGGCTTTGGAGCTGTTCCCTGTCTGCTGTCCTGACATATCCCTGGGCTGCAGGTGGGGCTGATGGGGAGGGAGAGGCAGATGCCCATTCACAGAGATTATTGGCAGTCACCCTGAAGTTAAGCAGGATCTGAATGAAAGGGTAAAAACAACGAAGAAAGAGGGTGAGCAAACATGTTGTCATGAGCAGACAAGGGACAGGACACCTCTGTGGGCTGGGGCTGTGCATCCAGCTGGACTCAGGATGCTTGGCTTCCTGGAAATTTGACAGGGGAATGAGATTTCAGGCTCCCTCATGCCCATCTCCACCCATTAAACAAATGAGTGTTTACTGAAAGGCAGAAATCTGTTCCAAGTCCCTCTTGTTTCAGGAAACCACTTCTTCTACCTTCTGGTAGAAGCGTCTGTCAGTGGAATGCAGGAGAGGAGCAGACCTGAGTGCTGCCAAAGTTTTGCAATCCTCCTTTGATGTGTCCCCCCACCAAGGCAGAGCTTGCCTGGCTTGCCTGGCGTGAGGGCCCGTGGGAGCAGCTCTGGTTTTCTGCCTCACAGTTCAACCCCTGGCTGACCACCAGAAACCTGGGACAGAGGGAAGGCTTCAGAGAAAGGGTAAGGAGAAACTTGCGACATCAGACACATTTTTGGCCAATTCATTTTGCGGATGGTGAGTCACAGTGGAGAAGGGAGCTGAGAGGATGGTTTGGATTTCACTTCTTCCCGGACGCATCTCTGATTACAGCTTTTTGAGACCTAACAGAGTTTTGATAGCGCTGACCAAAAGGCAGGGTGGGGATGGCTATGGGACTTTATATCTGATTTTCACACAAAATAAACACAGTAGGTTTCTAGGTCAGCTTTAGCTCCTACTTTAAGGCAAGTTGGCCCTCAGAAGGAGATTTCAGGTTCAGGACCATCTTGCAGACATCTCCAGGCCACCAATTCTCAAGAAACATGAGAATGGAGTTTCTTCAGCTATGCATGTGGGGATGTGGCCAGAAACAAATGACTTGCACAGCTGTGGACTCTGGGAGAAGGTGGTCTGCTTTTCAAGAGCAAGAGTAGAAACACAGAAACTGACCTACCCATGGTCAATCCTACCACCTACAGTGAGACAGAAGAATAACAGAGGGATCATGAGAGCTGGTGAGGCATCGTTGGGAAACACAGCCTGTTTTGCTTACCATGTGTTGGAGGCCTGATGGAATAACCATTATGGGAGACAGGGAAGGGAGCAGCACATGCTGTCATGATTACTTAGAAAGTATGTGAATATGACTTTTCACGCTACTATTGAACAGAAAAGCAGATTTTTCCTGTTTTAGGACCTCCAAAGCACCTTATAAAGACAATTAACGGTCATCTTCTGAAGAGTCTCTGGAAGGAGAGGGAGGTCCTTCTCCAGAGGTAGCATCAGACATGTGAGCCACAATGGCTGGAGAATGGGGGGGAAGGCTCCATGGCTATGACTCAGCGAGGGGCCCAGCCTGGAGCACTGAGTCACTCTGTGCCACTGCCAGTGGAGATAACAGGCTACTAGGCACGTCACAAGCAGCAGCCAGTCACCTGTTCCCGTGCGTGCTTGGCCCTGCCAACAGTCCATCATGACTGCCCCACAGGCGTATGGGACCCGATGACACGGAGCAAGGAGCCCTGTGCTTGATCTGGTTGTAACTGCTATGTGCCATGGCAATCAGAAGAAGGTAGTGAGGTGTCATATTATTGACAAGAGCACTAAGTAGTTCCTATATAAAAATTTTCCCAGCAAACTGAAAAGTGCGTTGACCAGATAACAGCTGGAGGGAAGGAGAGACTTTTTTTTTCTTTCTTTTATTTTGTTTTGCCTTTTTTTGGGGGGGGGGGGGGGAGGGAGGAGTGGGGGGAGAGAGTTGGCTTTTGAAGAGGATTTTTTTCAGGAGTTACTATATTTTTTTCTTTTCTATTCTTTCCATTGATGATCTCAGAATGGCAGAGATCGCCTGGTCCAGTTCCCTGCTCAGGCAGAGCAGCTGCATGGGACTGGGTTCAGCTGGGTCTGCCAGTACCTCCAGGGCCTTATATGCAAAGCAACTTTCCAGCCCATTGGCTCCCAGTATGTGCTGGTGCATTGGATTATTCCCCTGCAGGGGCAGGATTTTGCATTGTCATTTGCTGCAGCTGACCACTTTTTCAGACTGCCAAGGTCCTTTGGAAGAGCACCATGACCATCTGGCCACCCAGTGTGTCACACATCACCTGGGGGATGGAGGATAACCTTCCTTTCGATTCTAACTTTTAAGCCCTGCCTGGGAATAAGGAGTCCCTTTCGTCCTTTTTGGTACTGTAGAGTTGACTACAGGCCAAAAAGAGACCAGTGGGAATTACATGCAAGGTATTTTCCGTCTTGGAGCATAGACTTCCCTAATAGACTAGTTCTAAACACCTTCACACTTGACTAGCCCCAAACATGCTGTAAGAGCTGTTTGCACAGAAGGCCTTTCAAATAGATCTGGACCAGGTGGAGATGTTAATTTGTGAAAATAATATTACAGGAAGGATGTTCTAAGGATAAACGGTCTCTCCCTTGCACCCAAGCCCCCATTATCTCTCTGTGCCTAGGCTTCACTGCTTTGACTGTGTTTTGGCAGCTGCCTGATGTTCTCTAGTTGAGAGTAGTGGCAGGAGAGGAGGTTTTGTGCACAGCCAGTGCACAACCATACCCCACTGCCAGCTCCCCGGCAGCTGTGCTGGAAGAGAAGACCACAGTCTTTCTCCAAAACTTTATTCTCAAAGAGTAAACCACTGAGTAGTGTTGCATTTCAGCCTTGGTCTCTGCTGCCTGGCAGCTGCAATTGCCATGCAGAGACCCCACAAGAGGAAACAGGTGTCTAAGCTGGGGAGGACCACGATAAGGAGACCAGTTGTTCTGCCCATCCAAGGTGTGGCACAACCTGTATTGCCCCTGGCCTGGACGATGTCCCCAAGTCAATGCAAGAAAAGTCTGACACTGGATGGGGGGATGGCAAGGGGGGGATGGTGACCCAAAACAGACAGTGGAGCCACACCAGCTCTGCACCATTTGCTCATTTCAGGTGACCAAATGTATCTTCCTCCCCCAGCAGGGATGCAGTCAAAACCATGCTGGTTCTGATCAAACAGGAGCTTAATGGAGGCCTTCTCCAGGAACTGCCAGGGATGAAAAACAGCCCTGTGTCATGAGGCACAGGGAAAAACAGGCAGCTGTCCCTGCACCCACCCCATGCTCCTTATCAGCAGTGCAGCGGGAGCATCTCCATTTAGGGATGTTTGCTTTGCCCGACTGTGGCAGCCTGATAGGGAACATGGTGAGACATCAGGGCCCCTGCCACTTCCCACTGCCATTGTCAGCACAACAGACACCTGTGTGCAAAGGCAGACCTGCACTCCCACCCTAAACCTCTACTGGGTCCAG